TTATTTACTTCTAAAAGTGATTTCTAAAATATAAAACTTTCTATTTTCGAAACTTTTTTCCAAAATTGAAAACTTTTTTCAACACCTTTCCTAATTTAAGTTTAAGGGTAATTTAAAAAATTATATTCTAATTTAGTTTTAATTGAGAAATCAATTCACCTACACTAAAAGTCTCCTTAAGACCGATGGTTAGTTGAAGGACAAGGGGTGGACAAGCAATTTCCCAAATAGGGTATGCCATGCTTTGTATGCGGTTTAAGCAAGCACTTATATGATTAGTTGATTCAATGACATGATCTTAGGCCAAAGGTTAATAGAGAACACGAAAACTCTCCCACATGCCAAAATATAAATCTTTATCTCATTTTGAGATAAACACTTCTTACCGCAACCTATATTTGAATACGAGTTCCAATAAAGTCTATTTGATTAAACTTTATATGAGATATGAAAAGGAAAGAAAATGAATATATCATTCCTTAATGATTTAAGGCTATAAAATATGTATCAAACAATTTGAGAAAGTAAAAAAGCCTAAATCAATGAAGTGTAAATACATGAGATATCCATCAAAATAAAAACTTTAGGAAGAAATAATTAGAATTATAAAATCATGTGCACAATAGAAAGAAAAAAGTCAAAGTAATTGATAAATGAAAAAAATATTAAGCAATATTAAAAGCAAAATTTAGGAAGAAATAATTAGAATAAAAAATCTAAAGAGAAATAATAGAAGAGGAGAAGTGATTTTAGCTTGAAGGTTGATAAATCTTGAACTTTTTAAGGTGAGCATTTTCTATTTTTGTTATAAAAAGCTTTCTAATGACTTCCATTTGATTTGATTCTTTCTATTATTGGCGGGTTGTATGATTCCATATGAAGTAGCATTAATAGTTAATAATTGCTAATTGTATTGTTGTTTAAGGAATTGTTGGAGAAACATATATTTTTATGCAATTTCATGACTTTAAAGGATATAACCAATAACATGAACAAAATTGTCACAAATTATCCAATTTGAAGAAAGTGCTTTTTCTCTCCTCTTTTGTACTCTTTTTTAGGATTTTTATTCCCATTATCTTAAGTGATTTATTAATAGATCCTACCAAAAAGAGGCTAAATCCAAACAAATAATAGTTCAACTATTGAAATAAGAAAAAAATTCTTCGAGGAGGATGTGAATAAAAAAAATAGTTCAAGAGGTCTTTGTATGAGTAACCAATATGGAAGTTAAAATTTAACCTCTATGCAATATTATTATTTTTAATCTCTCTCTCTCTCTCTCTCTCTCTCTCTCTCATATCTATCTATCTATCTATCCTTTTTCCGTCTCAAAATAACCCCATATAAATTTTAATTTCTATTTTACTAATTATTACTAATAATTTAATTATTCTCTTTCTTTCTTTTTTCTATTAAAAATCTACCATTTTATTTACTAACATACTAAACATCCTTCAAAATTGAATTTTACACCCTTTTCAAAATTGAAATCACTCTTATATTGTTTACTTCGTTGACAATCAAAATAAATATTTCAAACCACAAACACATGTACAAGGGTTGTCTACTAGAAGATTGACAATTGGCACAATTGATTTTAAGTAAAACTATTTATGTTAGACACGATCTAAATTGATGTAACTCATTTATAATAAAAAGGTTTTAGGATTGAAATTATTCTAAACGATTCTATATATTTTCTAACTCCAGCATTTTCCTATTTTGTCCTTATAAAAAATTCAAAGTCCTATATTTTTTAGGTTATCCGTATCATTGTCCGATTTGGACATAAGTAGCTATCCTCATTAATATTTTTTTTCAACTTAGAGGCTGACTCTTAGGTTGGTGTTGTTTTCTATTTTTGTATCACAACTAAGTTTAGGTCTTAGAATAAGTCTTTAAAGGATTCTAGCTAGTTCATTGTTTATTGTATTTCTATGACTTGCCCATGACACAAATTCAATACAACATTTCTCAATATATATTTTTTTTTACATCTATCGTAATTTAGTTTATGTAAGTTTATGTTTTCAGCTCTATGCTTTATCTTTATATTTTTTTTATTGTATTATTTATATATTTTATTAATTGTTTTCTTTACTATGTATTTAATGTTTTTTTTTTTTTTTTTGCTAACTCTAACTTTGATGTAATCTCTCTATAATTTATCTATATAAATCTCTATGATTTATCTCTCAATGAAAGCTTTTTTGTTTATTTTGTGTAAATCTCAAGGTTTATTGACTACTTGCTTAATGTAAATAAATAAATATATACAAAATATATGTTTAAAACAAATTTGGACCTTCAAGGTTTTTGTGACCGATATAAACTTTATGTTTTATATCTCAATTTAGTTTTTTTTTTTGGTTAAATGCAACACTGCCGTGTTACATTTTATTTTGATAGTTATTGTTTTTTTTGTTTTACATGAATAGTATATTAATTCATTATTATGTAAACTTACTAGTTTCTTGGCAAAAGCTTCACTTGTGTATTATTTAACTCATTTATATTATTTTATATTTCTAATTGATTTTTTAGAATTATTTATAAATAAATAAATTTGAATGTTTAATAAATATAAACATGTTTAATTTCAAATGATTTTGTATAAATTCTGATAATTATAATTAAATTAACTAGGGACATAAATTAAAAATTAGTCATATAAAATAACTTTTAATTGGACTTAAAGTAAAAATTAGAGACATACATTGAATTATCTTTCAATATAATACTTGTTACAATAGTTTCACATAACATTATATTATTATGAAATTTTTTATTTTATTTTAAACAATAATTTTCATTTATATGAGACATTAATATTTTATTAAAAAAAAGTATGTGATATATATAAAATGTTTAATAAATATAAACATGTTTGATTTTCAAATGATTTTGTATAAATTTTGATAATTATAATTAAATTAACTAGGGACATAAATTAAAAATTAGTCATATAAAAGAATTTTTAATTGGAATTAAGTAAAAATTAGAGACATACATTGAATTATCTTTCAATATAATAATTGTTACAACAGTTTCACATAACATTATATTATTATGAAATTTTTAATTTTATTTTAAACAATAATTTTCATATATATGAGACTTAATATTTCATTACAAAAAGTATGTGATATGATATGACTTAACAATACATGCATGAATAAAAATTTTATAAATTATTTTCATAATAAATCTTGATTTTTTAAAATATTATTTAGTGTAAATCTAAAAGAGTAACAAAATAATGTAAGACAACAAAAAAAAAAAACCTATAAAAAATTAATTAAGGATTCAATTTAATAATTTGATGAATATTGATGCAAGTTAAATTAATATTTTTGGATTTTAAAACTTAATGTTTCTCATTGCCTGGTTTTGCCTCTTTAGACTTTTAATAGTTAAAATAAAATACCAATCTAGTACTATAGTTTAGAAGTGATTTAATTATTTCATTTTATGTTATTTAGAGTTTTATGTGGTGTATAAATAAGAAAATGATGAAAAAACGGGATTAAATATCTATATTTTAGCACTCATTCTAAAAATTAGCCTTTTTTTTTTTTACTAATTAATAATTTTTTTAATTGTTTTTTTACCAATATTGTTCCTTTATTGATTAGAGGTGGAGGTGAATTTACTTCTTAGCATTGATAGTATATTAGCGTTGTATTTAGAATATAATAGCGAATAACTTTTTTTACGGTGATCGTGTAGTTATGGATTGTTTTCAAGTTTATCATAAAATCCACAATCTTGTTTGATTACGAGATAGTTGTTAAGTCCTTATAAATTAAGTTTTAAGTATTTGAAAAAGTCTTTCATCTTCTTAAATCTTTTTAACTGCCTATCAAAAGCCTTCTAATAATAATTATTCACTTCTTCAGCCTATCTCATTAGGCGAAAGATTCACCTGCGGCAAACTTTTCACTTTTACTTTCTTTTTCTTTTATTATTTTTAACAATCTTTAATCTAGTTTTGTCTCCTGCTTGTTTGATTTATGTCTCATTTGAATAAATGATTTGCGAGATTGTCATTCCCTGACAATCATGGATAGATTATCTTCCATCTTTTCGATTAGTAAGTTGTAATTTTCATAACTATTGTTTTTTTTTTCCCAGCCAAACCCATCTTGTGTTTGGAGACTGAACACTTCCTCTCTCGGTTCTCTCAATAGAAAAATCCTAACAACCGTCGGTGAATCTTTCACCGGCGATAGTTTATTCACTCTCTCTCATTTATTTTTCCGTCTCTTTTAACAATTTTTTTATCTAGTTCCACCATGTTCTAGATTTGATTTTATTTTTTGTTTGTTTTATATAGTAATCCGGTTTTATTTTTCAGTTGTTGGGTTTATGTATCATTTGAATAAAGAGTTTGCTGATACATTTTTTTTATTTGAAGGAAACTGACACCATCTGACCATCAGGATGAGATGATATCTTCTACCTTGATAGTGCAGTCCGTTCCTCTACTGGTTGATGGTGAGTTGAGATTTTTTTGTTTGCATGAACTACAACAACAATCATATTTTAAGAAGGCCTTGATAGAAAAGATCAAAGAATCCAAGACGAACTAGCAGTGACTTGGAAGATCATTTTTTATCATTATTACTGGTTGCTTTGTTTACTCTTCCTCTGAATATTAATTTGTAATTTTCATAGCCATTGGGTTTTGAAAATAGCGATATATTTTCACCTTTTGATATTAATAAAATTGATATATACATGATAAAATGAAAAAAAGAAAAAGACTTCTTACATTATGTTAAAATATAGTAATAATCAACAATGTAAAATAGGATATATATATATATATATATATATATATATATATATATATATATCACCTTAGTTGAAGCTTGAAGCTTGTTACGAGGGGAGTTGAAATATGTTTATGTTTTTTTTTTTTAATGATAGAGGGGAATTTTATAGTTGATAATGAACTAAAATTTCTTGTAAAGCAGTAATGCTGCTACATACATTTATCTGTTAAGGGCAATGGATAGCGTGACGGCTAGGATTAACCAAGCCATTGCAAAGTATCCAACCAATCTTGTCGGTCCCTCATCCTCTGGTTCCTGCAACGATAGGCCATTTATTTTATCATTGTGGAGAAATTTATGGATTGTGAAGAAGAAGAAGAATTATAAATGAAGTTAAAAGCTATTCTTCAGTTTTTGGTACTACCAGCCACATTAAGTTCAATGATATTTCTATAATAGAGGCACCAATGGAGTTCAAGTTCAACAACTCTTTGGACTACATGGACTTGGAACAGAGAAACCTTGAGAGAAAATTCGTGGTTAAGACAATTTAAGGACCTAAGGTACGCCTCAGTCATTCTAAGAACTTAGAAGAAAGTTACTGCAGGTTATCCGTGATATACTTGATGCATGACCATATATTTATCAGAACTCTGGAGGATAACCTAGCTAAATCTTGAGTGTCACAAAAACCTGAAAGCTGGTTGATATCATACAGGTCTTGTAGCTAAAAGGAGAGCCATTGGATGAAGGGTGTATTATCCTGCGGTGGAGGAGACAGTTAACAAGGTGCGTACCATTGGTGGAGGAGGTGCGGTTGGGGTGAAGTCCACTTCATAAGGCCACATGTATCTTTCTGGCTTCTCGCTCCTGACCAAGCTCCAATCGTACATCCTTCTCTCATCTTTAGAGGATAAAATTGTGTAGGATTCCTAAATAGAAAATAAAGAATGATTCACGGTTTCCCGACTTAACAAGTTTTCAACTTCCGTTAATTAAAAGAATAAAAATGTCATGAGGTAATAACCTTTAGAAGTTCCATTTTTTCCCTGACTTCTGCTTCATCAAGCCCCTGATTCAGTAGCTCTTCGACCCTGTTTCTATATGCAGCTGTAACCTGTTCAAAAGAAAGATAGTTTTACTAGGGAGATAATAAAATAAAATAGACCCAAAAAAGTTAAACAACATTTTTGGAGACCTCTTCATATGAAGATCTTCTTTGAATCCCAAGTCTGCCGTAGTGATCCACATCTGTAATCGCTGCATTCAAATCCAAATCTTTAAATTATCAGACAGAAAAGAACATATTGTCTTATCAATTAAAAGCACATAGAAAAGAAAGCTGGACCAATAATTATATATTCATATTGGGTTGAAAATAATAATTACGTATGCCACGAAGAGCTCTCTCCACATTGAGAGCAGAAATCAAAGACGGAGCCCCTCCCGGAACTTCAATATAATTCTCTGAATCTTCGACCTCAGTAGCTGCAGTACTCTCGGCTGCTCCATCATTAGAGCTTCTAATGTAAAATCTACCTTGTTTTGATGCGAATGAGACCGAAGTTAAAAAGGCATTGCCATTTCTGGGGTTCGGAGTCGGGAATTTTTGCCCGGAAATGTACACTGTTGCTGTTGTCGATGATACAGCCATGGCTTCTGGCCGTTTTTCCTGTTATATCCGTATTTATGGATTGCTACTATAGTTTGGTAGAGATAAGGCAAGGGCTTTTCACCAGTCGAAAGTTATCCAGTTGACTTAGTCTAGGTGTGTTCATGTAAGAAGTTATATAATAATGTGGTTTTAGTAAACATAAACAACAAAGTCGTTGTAGTATAGTGGTGAGTATTCCCGCCTGTCACGCGGGTGACCCGGGTTCGATCCCCGGCAACGGCGTTAATGTATTTTAATATTTTTTAAATTCTTGATTTTGAAATGAAACGACGTCGTATAAAGTCCTTGATAAAACGCAGAAGGATCCAAATTCCAAAGGCCAATTCAATTATTTCCAGCTCTGTTATTATCCTCTCAACTCTCTTTGTAATCAATAATGTTGAATTTTTGAGAGAAAAACTGAAGAATTATGGGATTGGGAAGGCACGGACAATCCTCTAGTTCGAGCAATGACCCTGGGCCCAGTGAAGAACCCGGTCCGACTACTTCCTCGACCACTACAACTAGCAATGAACCACGGCGATTTCCCCCGGCTGCTCAGCCAGAAATAATGAGAGCCGCAGAGAAAGATGACCAGTACGCTTCCTTTATCTACGACGCTTGCCGCGACGCCATTCGTCACCTCTTTGGTCTCTCTCTAATTTAGTCTTTACCTCTCCAATTCCAATTTTACTTCCAAAAAAGTAATAAATTCTCTTTTGAATCTGAAGATATTTCTCTTTCTTTCTCTCTGTATATAGGAACAAGAGTAGCTGTAGCTTACCAGAATGAGGTTATTATTGGTCCTTTCTTCTTCTTCTTTTTTTAATTAATCAATTAATAACAGTTTTAAGTCCAATTAAGTGTGAGTGTTTTTTTTTTTTTTCCCAGACAAAGCTTTTAGGACAAATGCTATATTACCTGTTGACAACAGGTTCAGGACAGCAAACCCTTGGTGAAGAGTATTGTGACATTACTCAGGTATTTATAATTGTTTTGTAGATTTATTTATTGCTAATAACCTGTGTTGTCTAAGCATCATTGGGAATTTCTCTAAAAAGGTCGTTGTTCCTTAACCACCAACTTATTTCTAATTCTATTTTTAGGTGGTCATAATTATAGACCCAAACAGTGTTACAGTACTGCTTGTTTGACCTTTTAAATTTTTGGGGAATTCAAGGTAAATGAACAATTTTTTTTTCCACTTTTTAATTGATAACTGAGATGTTTTTCCAGGTTGCAGGGCTGCATGGACTTGCTCCAACGCCCGCAAGGCGTGCTCTTTTCATTGTGTATCAGACGGCTGTTCCTTATATTGCAGAAAGAATTAGGTAAAAATACTCCCCCACGCCTCCTTTATCTACTATATTTCATACTTCCCATCTGTACATTGTTCACTAATAACTAAATATTTTTATGTGAGAAACTAAAATCTTTTCTGCAGTTCGAGAGTTGCGTCCCATGCCATTGCGCTTGATGATTCGCTGTCTGATGAGCCCTACAGAGACATCACTTCAGGGACCAGCCATGCTCAATCCCCTGTCATGATTGAATTACCATCTTCATCTTCATCTGGGGCATCGGTTTCTTTAATATCAAGGTTGAGGCAGAAATTTAATGGAATACGGATGCATGCAATTAGAAGATGGCCTGCGGTATATTTATCCTTAACTGTGACTTATATATGATAGTGTAAGCTCAAATATGATGTTTTAGTTTATGGGGGCATAGAAAATATATTGAAGATATGACTATTTTTGAATGAACTTGGCTTTTCTTAATTCATTTGAAGGATGCATAGTAAGTTCTTTTCTTAAAGTTAGTAACTTCCCCAATTCCTTGTCTGAGACATTGTTGCTATTTTTTTCCCCTTCACAACTTGTATCACAAGTTCACAACTGCTTCAATATATTGGTTCTGTGAATACCTTGTGTAACACAACAATTTTCCTCTTGTTTCTCCTTGATGACTTGCATCACAACTCCATAGCTGTACCCGTCAAATTGGTGTTGTGAACTGAACACATGTGTAAAACCTAACACTAATTTCTTGTGTTACATTTAGGTACTTCCTGTAGCTCGTGAATTTTTGCAATTGGTTCTTCGCACAAACCTTATGTTTTTCTACTTTGAAGGTGATTCCAAGTGTCAGAGGTTCATAAATTGCAGTAGAAGTTTATGAATGGCTTTTTAGCAAATATTCATCTTGTTGTCTTTTTTTTTTCTAGGCCTATATTATCATGTATCAAAACGTGCATCTGGTATTCGTTATGTTTTTATTGGGAAGCCATCCAATCAAAGGCCTAGGTATAGAGTTCTGTACTTTCTCTTATACCGTAATCACACTTCTTTACTCTCTCTCTTTCTCTCTCTTAGCTCATTTCTAGCTCGCTGCAAGTCATAATTTCTAGGCTTGCATGCCAACCCATAAACATTTAATGGTTACCTTTTGAACTCTTTGAATTGGCTTTGGTACAGATACCAAATACTGGGTGTATTCCTTCTCATTCAGCTGTGTATCATTGCTGCTGAAGGTCTCCGACGCAGCAATTTATCTTCTATTGCAAATTCAGTTCATCATACATCCCTGCAGTCCCACCAAACTGCAGGTAATTAATTTTAAGTAAACATTGTATCATCTGTTTAAAACTCATGTACAGGTGACCTCATATCATCATTCTTCAAGACAATAACTGCCTCATTATGTTTATGCATTATGGAAAAGGTCTCCTACTTTGAAGACGACATTCTGTTAAATACTTCCCTTTCATTATCAAGTTTTATTGTTAATAAGGTTGAAAAGGAAAACCACACAAACTACAACTGCTGTAGATGTTTTAGAAACATGAAATTTGTATTCTTAACTTCTTATTTCCACAGAGAAGATATCAATTCAGTTTTTGTACGAAGTGTTTGTTATGGCAGAACATAAAACCTAAATTTTGATTGCAATTTGATGAAGATACATTCACTTTAATGTTTTCAGAAAAGTAGCTCTGCGAAAGTGAGTTATTTTTCTACATCTATTACCTCATGTGTGGGTTTTGCTAATGTACTATGATCAAAGTCATCTCTTCCTTGGTTTATAGGTCGTGGTTTGCCTGTCTTAAATGAAGAAGGCAATTTGATACATGTCGACGCTGGCAAGGGGAGTTGGGCATCAGATTCCGCATCAACTTCAGAGGTACAATTTCAAATTGTCTCACATAATATTGTATTTTGTGTATCTTGTTTAAGCTATTTTTTTCTCAATTCCCATGTTTAATAGGTAAAAATGCATGTTTTGGGTTGTTAAAAAGTAATATAAATTATATTATTGGGCCTTACCTAAAAGCTTAAGCTTTTAGGTGAGATGGTCCTTTAACATGGTATCGAGCTTAGTTAATCAAGAGATCCTGAGTTCAAGTCTCACCATCTCCAATTTCTTAAATATTAAGAACAAGGCAATGTGGACTCGTGCAAGTTTCAAGCTCGCATGCTGGAGCTTTCACTTGAGGGAGTGTGTTAGAGAGTAATATAAATTATATTATTGAGTCTCACCTAAAAGCTTAAGCTTTTAGATGAGATGGTCCTTTAATATGGTTTAATTTTAAAATTTTAGTTTCCTTGTGTTTCCTACTTTCATTAGGAGTTCTTATTTTATTATTGATTGAATAAAAAACCTAAGTTTCCTCTAAGATTGAGTGTGTTTCTCTTGTTTGGTGATCTTATTGGTGGTTCTACATCATATTTCCATGATTCTAATTGATTCAAGAGATTAAATATACTAGAACCAGTGCTGTTAGCTGAGGCATCTCACTTCGTAGCCCTTATAAGTGGTTTTTTGTCTGCTTCCTGGGCTCTGTTTAACGAAACAGCAGTTTTGACAACACTTACCCATGCTGTATGAAGAGATTGACTCGCTTACCATAGAATTACCACCATTTGTAGAGCCAACTCATTCCAAAAGTTTCCTACTGTGTTCAGTTTTATCTATTTGATAATAGATGTAACACTATTTTGCTAATACTTTGTGTATGATCAGTCTAATGCAATAAGCAGCAGCAAATGCACACTCTGCTTGAGTAATCGGCAATACCCAACTGCTACATCTTGTGGCCATGTGTTCTGCTGGTACACTCTCCGACTTTTATTTTATTTTATTTTTTTGGTTCTCTTTCCGTACTGTGTTTCCTTTTCTTTTTTAAAAGGAACCATTGTTGTCTTATTTATGACATGCTGTTTTTTTTTGTAGGAATTGCATTATTGAATGGTGCAACGAGAAGCCTGAGTGCCCACTCTGCCGTACCCCCATAACTCATTCAAGCTTAGTTTGTTTGTATCATTCCGATTTCTAGTATGTGTGAGTAAGGTGGACACTGTCTATAATAAACAGCCTGAAAGGGAAAGAAGCCGGAAGCAACTAACTTGCGCCTTTTCTTCTCATGCATCAAGGAATTTCGAGGTATAAGCAGAGAATAACGGTTTAGTATATGATTTCCCCCATGTTGACTATATTTGTAGTCTTAGGGAAATGGAGATATTCTTCTGTAATAGGAATTATATTCTGTAATGTGGCGTGCAAGACCAGTCCACAAGTTGTGCGTTTAGAGCTATGTAATTCTAGAAATTCGAGATAGGAAATAGAGCATTAGTTTCAGACCTTTGAAGGTTGCTTCTTGGGGTCAACTGTAATTTTCATGCTGACTTTATTTATGCAGAGAGGAAAGCAAATAAATTTTCATGTATTTGGGGATGGGCAAACCAATTGTATAATTTTCCATAGTTTCTTCAATCACCAAGCGATTTATATTAAATAAAATTACCATCATATCCGTTTATTTACTAAATCAGCACACTATCAGATGATCCCATTTCTCAGGTGAACACGATTATGTAATAAAATATTTTATGTTTTATTTTCTTGTAGTCCTTCAGAATGCATATTTTGTAGCGTTATTTGGACATTTAAGATATATAATTAGTATACAACTCGGCCTGTATATATTTTTCGCTTGCTGTGAAGATTTCAAAAATAGTCTCGTTTTCTTTTCTTCGAGCTGTTATGTTATCAATTTTTTATTTTATTTTATCATTAATGAAAGAAGATTCCGTTTATGAGAGCCAATATAACTTATATCGTCAATATATCGTTCAATGCAACATTATATGTGAATGTGGCATCGAATTTACCAATTGAAGATTACCAATTTTCATCAGGTTTGAATTTTGCTAACTGTACCAAGTGAAAAGCATCGAATGGGGCATCCTCCATTGTACTAATTTTATTCGATTTGGATTTGAATCTGTAGCTGAGCGATACTTCTCAAACTCTTCAATTAGATGCCAACATTCTCATTAGAGCTCCACTGTTTAAGTCCAATGTCAAGAGCTAGCTGAACCCCATAAATTGCAGCCTGCGTTTCTCGGCAAATCTACTTTCATAATTCGGATTGGGAGATTTTAGATGCAGAAAGTAGAACTTGTCCTTAACGATTCCTCGTAAAAATACCTAATCCACGTTCCTCATGCTATAAAGTGGTTGCATCAACATTTAGTTTACAGCTATAAGAGCTAGCTGAACATTTATTTATGTTCCATTGTAGGGACTGAATTTAGTATTTAGACCTTGACAAGTAATCAAATGTTTGTTACTGTAAAAACCCAAAAAGGAAAATAAGAAGCAATGTGAGCCCGTATTTGATGAATACTTCTTTGATAAAGACATCATGGGCCATGTAATTCTCAACCATTTTGGATGGTAGACATCCTTCAGCTTTGATGTTGCACCTTCAAAATGTTGGCTCTCGGGTCAACACTACCTAATGATTCAATAAGGACATATGATCTCTTTCTACTGAAGTTTTTAACCCAGATAATTCAATAACATTCATCCTGAGAATCCTACCGAGCAAATGTCATTGGCTTTTGAAATTTTGATTCACTAGTTCAATAAGCATTACTTAACAGGACCCTTTCCTTCTTATTCCTACAAGCCGTGATGCAAGGCCTACTTAAAGGAATGATTGGGAAGGCAGAAGGTATGGAAACGAAGTGGAGCGAGAGGTGTCATAGGCAGAGGGTGTAGAGCTTTAGTGGGAGCGAGAGGCTTAAGGTTGAAGAAGAAGAAACTGAATAAAGGGATGTAATTAGCACGTGTTAGTTAATGACGTGTCATTATTTTAGTAGCTAGCAATTGAAATATTAGTCGTGTCTAACGGCTAATTTGTTAGCACTTGTTTGTTAGCTAACAAACATAAAACGGAAAGAGGAAAGAGAGGGGATCATTATTCGGCATGTGGAAATGATTCTCTCTGCTATTTCTCTCTTCATTTTCTCTCTGTTTTCATCATAATTCTTCTTATAATTCTTGGGTTCATTGCAAAGGTTTATTCACCGATTTCATTGTTCTTAATGAAAACATTTACAAATCGTTAATGCAATATTTTTGTTTTACTCGGAATTTCTTTCTCCGATTTGGTTGACTACTCGCATTCATTCATAATTCTTGTTTGTTGGATTTGGATCGCATCAATTGGTAACGGAGCATTGATTTTGGCGCCTATGAAGGAATCGACTGGAGTAGCATTATGGCTAAAGGAAGTGCGGATTTCAAGAGGATGGAGGATAATCTCACACAGTTGTCGAAGGTATTCATCGAGTTCTCCGATAAATATCACTCTAATATTGCTAAGCATGATAATGAAATTGTCGAGTTAAGATATTTGGTGAAAGAGAAGCTTGATAATGACATTACGGAGATAAAGGAAATGGTGAGGGGACTTAAAGGTCCAGCGAGTGGAAGAAATGTTCAATAATCACGGTAGTGGTATTAATGAAGAAGATAATAGGAATGTTAATAAAGAAGGGTCTAGGAGGCCGGAATATGGGTATCCAATGGGAAATAAGCGTGAAGGGGGTAATGTTGGGTATCGGTATAATACTAGAATGTCGAGGGTTGAATTTCGAAGTTCAATGGGGAGGATTTTGAAGGTCGGGTATTTAGGTGTGAGAAGTTCTTTTACGTGGATAGAACTCATGAGGACTCTAAGGTGAATTTGGCGACAATACATCTAGAAGGGGAAGCCTTGGAGTGGCATCGGGTATATGTTAGAATGCATGGGATGAATGTGATATTGAATTGGGTAGAATATATTGAATCCATGAGTGTGCGTTTTGGAGCTATGGAGTTCGAGAGATCCCATGGCGAAACCGATGACCTTAAGGCAAGCCGAGGATGTGCAATCTCTCCTTAGGAAGTTCATTTCGGTAGTGAACAAACTTACATTACCCGAGGATTACATTGTTAGCCGCTTTATCGGTAGCCTTAAACCCGAATTGTAAGTCCCCGTTAAGATCATGAAACCCAAAACTCTAAAAGAAGGCGTGGCTTTGGCCAAGCTACAAGAAACTAACCCAAACAACCACCATTACCCTACCAAATTCAACCAAATACTTGTTTCCTTGTTCCCTTCAAGATATAATTCCAATATGTCCATAAACACTCAAAGACCAAATCACGTTAACACTCCTAGATTCTTAAATTATACAAACAAGCAAACACAACGGAATTTCCCAAATCACTCAAACCCAAACCTAACCCGAAAGGCCTCTTACCCCTACCACCTCAATTCCAAAATGGAAACTCGTATCTTTAAAACCGGGAGATTGTCGAGTAACGAGGAGCTAGATGAAAGGAGATTGAAAGGGCGAGTGTTACTACTCGTGATGAAAAGTATTTTCCGGGGCACAAATGCAAGGGGAAGCAATTGTTTATGTTGGAAGTAGAGGATGATGTGAGTGAAAATATAGGGAATCTAAATGGGGAAGACCATAGCGAGGAGTATTTGGAGAATGTTGGTGGATTTGAAGGAGAGTTGTACTAGATTTCATTATGTGCTGCCTTTGGTGGGGAACAATATCAAACCATGAAAGTTATCGGGTAGTGCAACGAAAGAGGATGACAGTTCTAATTGATACGGGGAGCACTCATAATTTTATGGATTGGGAATTTGCAAAGAAATGTGGTTGTGAATTGGTTAAAATCCAACTTGTAGCTATTAAGGTGGCTAATGGGGGAGAAATAATGTGTGAATATATGTGCAAGTATTTTGAGTGAAAGATGCGGGGAACAACATTTGTTACGACGACTTATATAATTCATGTGGGATTATATGACATGATATTGGGGGTAGCATGGCTATATGATTTGGGAAATATTACTCGGAATTTCAAGGGATTATGGATGAAGTTTGTAAAAGAGGGAAAGATGTTTGAACTGCATGGTAGAAGTAAGGGTATTACTAAAGGTCTAAAGGAGAAGGAAATTGACGGAATCCTCTATCGACGGCGGCCATTGAATTGGTTACAATTGAATCGGTTATTACACTTGGATGTTTGAGAAATGGAGAACCTTATGTTAGTGACGGACTCATCTCCTTGTGTTGAGTTACGAGCGATATTAACGAGTTTGAGGATGTGTTTCGGGAGCCACGAGGATCGCCTCCGAGGAGACTTCATGATCATAGGATCATTTTAAAGGAAGGTTCGGAACCCATAAGCATGAAACCTTATAGGTATCCTCTTTTACGGAAGGATGAGATCGAGAAGCAAGTCGGTGAAATGTTGGCTAGTGGAATTATTAGGTCCAATACTAGCCCTTTTTCATCCCAGTGGTTTTGGTGAAAAAGAAAGATGCGACTTGGTGTATGTGTGTGGATTACGGGAAGTCGAATCAAATGACTCGTCAAGGATCGGTTCCCTATCCCAATCATAGAGGAATTATTGGATGAATTGCAGGGGTCTTTCATTTTTTCTAAAGCTGGATTTAAGGGTCGGTTATCACCAAATTCGAATGCATTCTAATGACATTTCCAAAACAACTTTCAAAACTCATAATGGTCACTATGAGTACTTAGTGATGCCTTTTGGCTTAACCAATGCTCTTAGTACGTTTCGAGTCATTGATGAATGAAATTTTTCGTCCCTTCCTCGGAAAATTCATTTTGGTTTTTTTCGATGACATATTTGTCTTTAGTAAAAGTTTTGAAGATCATTTGCATCATTTACATACTGCATTATCATTGTTGAGAGAACACTTCCTATATGTTAAGAAATCGAAATGCATCTTTGGCACTCCAAAGGTGGAATATTTGGGACATTTCATTTCTTCGGAAGGGGTGCAACCGACCCTAAGAAAATTACAACGGTGCGGAATTGGCCTAGACCTACTACCTTGAAACAACTCGGAGGTTTTTTGGGTCTCACGGGCTATTATAGGAGATTTTTGCGGAATTATGGAAGGATAGCTCGACCATTGACAAATTTGTTAAAGAAAGATGCGTTCGTATGGAATACG